GTTATTTTGAGAGAAACAAAAGTTTAACTAACTGTGGGTTTGGAGGCATGCGCAATGCTTTGCTGAAGGTTGACGAATCTATTGTTATAATGCGCAAATTTAACCGTTTAATCTCTTTGTATGGGGAACACTTTCTGATTGAATAATGAAATAATTGACAGACTCGTGCTAAATTTAATAGAGGTGGACTGACATTGCTTACTCTGCTTGCACAGACTACCATAAAAAAGTAAGTGAATGGAATTAAAACATGCATTGGCAGTCCAGTATATACCTGGGTCTAAACGCAAAGTAGGAGGTCCTGTAGTTATTTTGTTTACATCAGACTCGTTTGCTTTATTATTACAGGATGTGTAAAGTCTTCGTTGAGAATTGGCTGTTGGTTATTTACTGAGCATGGATAATCGTCATTATCTGTCCACTGTAGACTTTGGTTCTTTCGGTAAAGTCACGTAGGTAGAAATAAAATAAAATAAATCACGACGTTTCGAACGCAACACAAGAGCCCGTCTGTGTTGCGTTCGAAACGTTGTGATTTATTTCATTTTATTTTTCTACCTACGTGACTTTTACCGAAAGAAACCAACGAGTATGGATTCCTGCAGTCACGAAAGCTTCAAATCAAGATTGTCCACTGTAGGTTGCACGTTTTCCCGTGCATACACAACTTCACATGGTATTATGTAGGTGCAATCTATTGTACAATTCCTATTTGTCCTGTGATTTCATGTAGTAATTGATTTGTGTCTCTTTGCCTTTCATTGCAAGTTTTGTCCATTGATTGTTATTCCTTACAGAAACAGTCTGTCATAGTCCATGGTAATTGAACAACACTGCAAATATATTGGTAACGTTGTTGAAACCAATATACCTCATCGGTGGAAATATTTTGTGTTTTAGCATGTGAGCTGTACGTGCGTAACGTACACAGTGCAATATTATGTTGTGTTTATATGAATACACAGCACACTCGTTTATGTGCCCCAGCTGTGATATTTAAAGCTGTATCATTTACGCTTCCTTTTTGCTGTAAACACTGGCAGAGCTGTAACCGCATTGTCCAGGTGTTCATGCCACAGGATGCCTTGTAAGGATATGCTCTTTGTTGCAAACAAACCCCTTGAAGATACTACTCTTGAACAAATCACTTTCTGATGTATGTGGGAGCGTAAAAATAGTTTACTTGTGGTATCCGCTAAAGGAACTATTTAACTTGCATGGCCTTGACTTGCAGCCTCGAGGCCACTGTCTCCTGTGTAGCCCTGTTTATACAAAATTCCACCACATTTATTAGCAATGTAGGGACATGAACATATTGTTACAAATATAAACCACATGATAGCTTTAATTAATCACCAGCAGCTCGAGGCAGGAGCTCGAAAAAAATATAAAACTCGCAAATAGAGAGGCCCTTTCCGCGTGTCGAGTCTAAAGTTATTTTATATATACATATATATGCTAATTTGGAGCATCAAGGCCACACGGAAGGGGAGTGTGATGATGGATATGTCCTGTGAGGTCACTGAGATATACAGACAGACATGGTCACTATTCATCCCTAAGCTTTCCCGTGACATAGTGCACGCTTGTGCTTAAATAAATATGCAGTGGGTTTTTACGACCGTCTTCCGTTCGTTTTACACACTCTACTTGTGCACTTGACATTGTTTGGTTACAACGAAAGCATACAACACAAATAGTTTTTCATTATATGCCTGTGACTCCGAATGCAGACTTCAAAAATGCTCGCTCAGTCCAGCTTTCCATTGCAGCCATTCATATCTAGTTACATACAAATCAGCGGAGATGCAATACCCAATCCTCTTGACGGTCAGACATGGAAAGTTGGAATGGTTATGAGTCTCTGAGGCATGGGCTTGAGAATTACTGGAATAAAGTTGAGTTTTTGGAAAAGATTCCAGTTACAGTTCTGTGCTGTTTTGATTTCCTTGGACTTGGAAAAAAACAGAGTGACCATTGTCTATGCTAATGCTATATATGTGTTTTTCTAGCTGCCAATATTTTATAGTTATCACTAATACCATCCTGGATAGAATATATTTCCCAAAGACAGGAAAGACGAAATAGCATCAAAGATTTTTATTTTGTATTTGCCCATGGTGAAAATAATGGTCTCGTCATGGCAAAAATGTCGTGTGAGATTTAAAATGTGTGAATCGGACCAGTTACAGAATGTGTCTACAAGGACAGTATCCTTCACGACCAGATACACAACACTTTAGCAATCATGGGTTGTATAAACTTGTGCAGGCGTGATGCCTGATAACGGTATGCTGTTGCATGTAGGAGTTGTGTAACACGATTAAGCTGTTCATATTACAGTTGTAGAACAATAAACTCTTGCATTTGACATGATATGACACTAGATTTGAAGCTTTCGTGACTGCAAGGATTCATATTCTTAGGTTTTTTCGGTAAAGTCACGTAGGTAAAAAATTTAAATTAATAAAAGTAAAATAAAATAAAAATCACGACGTTTCGGAGGCAACACAAGCTTCCGTCTTCAGGTGGAACCGTCACAGCCACGACAGCTGTATCAAGTAAATGAGAGATTACAAGAGCTACCACTCCGTATATATAATGGTTGGAGGGGGGAAGGGCCAAGTACGGCACACTTTTAATTAATATGGTAAGGTGAGGCTTAAGACTAAGAATAGACTGCATAACAAAAGACTGAGCCTTTGTTAAGGAGAGGTACGGTTTGTGACTTTACCGAAAAAACCTAAGAATATGATATGACACTTTCATCTGCTTTCATTCAACATTTAGCAAAGCGCTGTGCAGTATCAAGAATGTAATAACTTGTAAAAACCAAACACGTAATCGCCATATATAACACAAATGTAAGTCAAACAGTAAGATTGATATTTGTGACTATACCATTTCACATTGTTGTTTATGGATAATTAGTCTTCTTCATTTTAAATGTGTGTGTGTTTTTTTACTTTGACATTCATTTAATTGCAGTTCATTAAAATAATTGTAAAAGTACATATGTGTACACGGATGTTCCTGTGCGTTCCATAAAAAAAATGCCTTTTGTTAACAGATGTTGGCTTCTCCCTTAGCCTTCTCTGCCAAACCTTTCATCTGAAGCAAACCATCTGCCACAATGGTTTCAAAGCAATTTCTAAAATTCTGCATTTCTTTAAATGCATTTTTCTGGCATATTGAAAGCTGGAGAAAATTTAAAACTTGGAAACGAATTTTCTAAATCCGTAACAAATCACTTTGTCTTGTTGAGAGCACATTACATGATAAAAAATGGTGAAAGGCATTATAAAGCAGCTTTTTTTTATCTATGTGCATCGTGTAGCCTACGTCTCTCTCGCCTCATGAAGTAGACAATAAGCTATACTACCCATAGCCTTGTGATGGTTTTTACACGGTTTTAAGATTTGTTACTGAAATTATGTTCTAAGTAAATATGGCAGCACGATATAAGTCCGATACAAGTTCATGAAGGGTCATGGGTGTGGCATATTCTGTATGGTAAAAATGGTAAATTCCCTCATTAATGTATTAAATGATGTCTGTGTTATGGTATTAACGTATTAAATAGCTCATGTTATGAGTAGAAAAATGGTTAAGGTGCAGTCCTGCAATTGCTAGCTCAAACCACTGCAAGCAGAAGGCCCTCGAATATGAGCTCTAGAGAGCCCTGCTGGAGGGGGCTTGGTCTACTCTTCCACACTGGCCATAAATCTTGGAAGTGAGAGGACCCCTACTTTACCCCACCACCTCTGGGAGGATTTAAGAACATTTCTCAATTGTCTCAACATACATGTTGGGAGAACAAACCGGTGTGCTCTGGATGGCAAGTCCAATCTCTGCTAATGATGTCCACTAATTGCAGCATCCATTGTGATCAGTACAGGGACACTATATACATTTCAAAGAGAAGTAGTGTATTTGCATTCACCCATGCTGGATTATGCGGTTGTGCTGCGTGCCTGCCTCAGGGGCAGTCCGTGACTGTTCACCCAGGCTCCACCACCCCCTAGATACAAATCTTGGTGAAAGAAACCCTCACATCCTGTTATTTTGTGTTACAGACCAATATGGCCCATTAGCTAAACTCACGGCCCCATATAAACTAAAGGGTAATGTGAGGTTAACAAAATACAAAGGCCCTCATTTACCCACCTGCAAACCAAATCACCTTCACTTATATAAACTAATGAACAAGTATTTTTCTCAGTGGACTTGGGGTAAAGTGAAATTATTATCATCATCATCATACCACTACCATTGCCATCACTGCAACCACCAATGTATGCTTGCATCTCTTGTTTAAACTCAGTTGTCCTCAAAACACCTATAAATGACGCACATACATGCACGTGACCACATCAAACACTGCACTCTATTTTATACGTATATGTAGACGCTAACGACGGACCTTTAAACATTAACTACGAATGACTAAACATTAAATATAAACGTTTTGCATCCTTGTTTTTGGAAATGAATAGCCATGGAAAGGTCAAATGGCCACGTTAATGTATTCATAATCCTTAACAAGGAAGAAAGTGTATCAATGTTTGGCACTGATCCAGTGTGGAGGGAGGGAACCCATGAAAAACCCAACATAGTTTCTGTGATCATGTCAGAAGTTTGTGAGATTAATACCCCATGTAATACGAGCTGCACACATTCCTCGACAGGATTCATATCGGAAGCCATAAATTAGCAGTGACTGTTCATGAAGCCTGTTGTCTCACAAGGCGACTAATTATGGAAAGCAATATTAAGGGGGGGGGGGTTGTATGGCCTAGTTTTCTTGATTCAACAAAATACTGGCGTACAATAGGAGTTGATATGCGGGGACACAATGCATAATGAGTTTATGTACGGTATTGCCTTTCACAGTGAAAAAGGCGTCAGTTTATATGGAGCGCTCTTACCAGTAACATCTCGTAACCCAGCAGCATTTGCTTAAAAAACTTGCTTGTTCACTCCAGTGCCTTTCGTTGCAGGTGGTTTTGTGAGGGGAAGGAGTTGGAGAATTCTCCAGACATCCAGATCTTGCAGAACGCGGACCTGCAGACACTAATAATCAGCGAGGCCTTCCAAGAGGACACGGGGCGCTACACCTGCTTGGCCTCCAACGTGGACGGCACCGACAGCACATCTGCAGAGATCTACATTGAGGGTGGGATGGGCTACACCTACACTTGGTTCTGAGACTGTGTTATTGCTACCCTGCTTTGCTACTCAATTACAATTAATACCAGCTGAAACGGGCTTCACATCCAGCACCTTCAGAGCTAATTTCTGCTCATCAAAACACGGAGCTTGATTGGGAGACATGCCCCCCCCCCCCCCCCGCATGAGCCATGAGGCAGAATATTGGCAGGCAATGGACAACCTCTTGGGTTAGGTACAGCCATGTCAGATAAATGAGCGTGTTGTCCCAAATATTGCATCACGTGGATGTGTTGTGTGTCTGTATCAGATAACGCAGCATATTGGCACAATCTGCTCAATAGCAGGGGTGTGCTGTGCACATGCATCAGATGAATGTGCACGTTGGAGGGAGGCATTTAAGCAATGGGGTGGTGTGCTGTGCTTGCCTCAGATAACTCAGCCAGTTGCATCGCTTCTAGTGCATCGATTTATTATAGGCATCCCAATTAGTTCTACTGTTTAATGCGATGCTCACTGTTCACTTATCCATTTTAGTTTTTTCCATATCAACATCGCGGCCTGCACGCGGCCCATTGTGAAATGTGAGAAATCACGACTAATGCCATCAACCTGGTTACCAAACATTGATCAATCATTCTAGATTTTAAGTTTTCGTGACTGCAAGGATCCATACTCTTTGATTTTTTTTTTGTAAAGTCGCGTAGGTAAAAAATAAATTAAAATTAAAACAAATAAATTATATCACGACGTTTCGTCACAGCAAAATAACTGTATCATGTGAATTTTGCTGTGACGGTTCCACCTGAAGACGGAAGCTTATATTGCCTCCGAAACGTCGTGATTTAATTTATTTGTTTTCATTTTAATTAATATTTTACCTACGCGACTTTCCCGAAAAAACCAAAGAGAATTGCTCATTCATCTCTTGGTCTCCAGGGCAACAACTCAAGGCACCATAAGTTAACCAAATACAATGTAAGCTTGGGAGCCAACATAACTCCTGTATGTATTTAATATCTATAAACACATACTTGCAAAGAATACCATAGCATTAGCTCTACGGGTGCTGGCGGTAGCAATGTAAAATGTACGAGTGAAATCAGCACCGTTTACTGTGCTGCTTATACCGGTTTGTATCTGTTCCTCCTGTTAAGGGCACACTGCCTTTTCACCAACTCTTGTGGGTCTATAAATTCATGTTGTGGCTACTTTTGCAAATAAATTATTTTTACAAATAAAACTCTTACTATGGCCGTTACATTAACTAAGTTTTACCATGTATGGAAGTTTAACTGTAAATCCATGATTTGATCTTGACAAATTAATGAATTGCAGTGCAATTAACAATGCGCTTTAAATCACTGATGCATGACAGATGTTTTTTAATGATATCACAGTGGATGTGACTCACAAATGCACACATCCACTCGTGTGTTTTTATTAGATATCAACTGTGTAGGCTATTTTTATGTTGTTGCATTTGCCCTTGTGGCTTTCGCTGAATGCAAAGGCGTAATTCCTCAGTATATATGTGTAAATTTGAATTTATAGAGTCGTCTGTTTGGATAAGTGATGCAAAAAATAGTATAACCTTCATGTCCTTGCTCAGACCTCCCTGGAGTCCTACCATTGCTGCTTCTCTTCATAATGACTAAAGCATGAGTCGCACATTTTAATTGCAAGACAATCACATTACAAGCAAATAGATGATTATCAAATTATAATACTTAGCAAAGTGAATATCGCATTATTGCTTTGGTTAACTAATTGCATAGAAACCGAGAGGAAAAAAATGCTGCTGTATAATCCAGTGTGGATGGTGTGTGTTATTGTATATTCACTAATGAGGAGAGATAAAACAAACATCTCTTACTGTTTTTGAAATTCAAATATGCATCTTTAGGCTACTGCCCGGTCTGTATTATATCTACGTGCATGGAAAACATACAAATAAAAAAATGGCAAATCTATGGAATGAAAAGACCATAATTTAAAGTATTCATACGAAACTTAAAATAAAATAATTCCTGTCTTTGGGCATGAATAATTCATATATCTTTTATGGATAGCCACAACAATCATAAATGTGTTTACTTAAAGGCGGGTGAATTATGCATCTGCGGTAGATATGAATATGGTCATTGGGTTTGTTTTGATGGTTTTAGAAACTTAGACTAATCCACGTCTTTTTTGCAGGTGCCACATCCTCAGATTCAGAAGGGGAGGCAAGTGCAGCTTCCCTGGAAGATGATTTGGCTCAGTAAGCAAAGCAATTTCCATCCCTGCATTTTCCCATGTACCTGATTGTCTGCACATTCATCCATCAATCGATACAAAACATATTTCCACACACGTTTATACACAGCCTTCTAACATACAAGGAAATGTAGAGATGGATGGGTGACTCAAGGGTCAAGGCACTGATTTGGAAACACTGAGTTCCTGGGTTCAAGAGAAGGCAGGCATGTGAAATGAATTTCCCTCGTATGGATAAATATGTTTATTGAAATTACTTCGGAAGTAGTTTTGTGATGTCCTCTTCCATGGCTGACGGACAGCAGATCATTGGAAGGTGCTGATTTCTGAATGGCAAATTTTAAGACAGAAACAGAAGGATTTCTCCACAACTCTGGCTCTCGCCTGATGAGGCTGGTTGTAATTACGTCGTACTTGAATTGTAAATGTTGTGGATTTACTCTCCAACACACCCGTGTGCTAAACTAGTAACGAATTGGCATGTTTTGTTTACGTGACAAACCTTACTAATTGGCTGCGTCGGGTGGTGGCGGGTTTAACGACACATTTATATTCATGCGATCTAACCCAAAAAAACCTCTCATAGATAAATGTTGGTCGCGAAAGCCTCCGTGTTAAATCGCATGGAAATATTTTCGTCTCGTAACATGAATCGCCGTAGCACAACAGAAATATAAATCATGGAATTAGAAGATTAATGCTGGAGGGGATATTCTGATGGCAAAACTGCAGGATTAACTGTGAACTTATATTTACAAACACCTGCTCATACATTCAGAATTTGTTTATAACACAATGCACGTTTGACTAATGCGTGTAAATATAAAGTATTGCACGATTCTCGACAGGAAGTTTAATGTGGTTTTACGAGTGAGTGTCATGGAACAGAAAATGCGGCCAGCATATTACACACGTTATTACCCTCCTAGTACGAGCGAAATGTGTATATTACACAAAGTCATATACATATATGTACACATTCACGAGAGGAGATAGTCAAACTGTAGAGCTGTGAGTGTGTGCGCATAAGAGTAATGTTAACCCGAGGGCTTAGACCAGTGGTTGGGCTGCATGCACCCCCTTGGGGTGCGAGATGCCCTTTCTGGGGGTGCGAGACGTGTCAGAATTATTTATGAAGGTAAATCGTCGAAACACAAATTAAGCACGGGCACGTAAGTACAACTACTTTGTTTCATCAAAACCTCTATGTATTTATTAACATAATTTTTTCATGATTGAGAACCAAAGCGGTGCAAGGCTGCAGTAAGGATTAAGAACCACTGCCCTAGACAGTAGAGAGGAGGTGGGTTACGTGAAATCAACAGAGACGAAATCCACACATTGCGGATGGCTGAGCGCAGGGAGTTCCATATGCTGGAAGCAGCAATGGAATTGACCGACCACCCACAGAGTGGATATTTAAGCAGGATTTGGAATGAATATTTTTCTAAGTATACATTGCAGCTCGACAGCCTTGTGGTTGATGTATTCACTACTGAGCTGAGCTGCAGTCAACGGTTGTTATTCCGACAACCACTTGGTAATTCCTGTGGGTGATTGTCTAAACTCCCAGCTTGCTATAAAGGGGGCATCAGCGGCACTGAGACATAATTCATAGCATGCCTCAAGTAAGTACATTATAGAAGATGGCATTTTTTAATTGCTTGTAATATCTCATTGTTGTCCTTTGTCCACATTTCAATAAGAGATAATGTCCCTTGCTTGAGGAGCATTGAGTAGAAATAATCATGCATGAAAGCACATTTTGAACATTTATAGCAGTTTACATACATTTCCCAGATGCTCAAGTTTAATGAGACCACAGCAGCTTTATGCATTGCCTTCGATATGCACTTTAATTTATTCACCCATTTTTCATGTTTATTTCTGGATGGCTTTCACAACATAACTCAACTCGGAAGCACCAACTTGTTGTTTCCTCGAGGCTCACTGAGAATGGCATTTAAAATATTAGATTATTACACTGAAGAATTATAGTTGTCTAATCTCTTGAAATGGACACTGTATCAGCATGAAACATACATTTCCTTGAACTGTAATTGCTATGGCAGTATATGTAAAATGGAGCTGTCATGAAAAAATGTGTCCTGCAATTCGGATAAACTTTGTTCCGTTTCAGTTCCAGTCAGGATGGATGAACCTTGGGCAAAATACTTGATTTGTGTTTTCTTGTCAACCTCCACTGTCAGCAGTGTGGGTGTGTGGAACGAGGTGCAATGCTTTGATTGGTATAGACCTACTTAGGCCTCGGCAAGGCAACGGGCGTACCTTTACCCTACCTTTTACACTTACCCCATACAAATGCCCCGATTACAGGGTAATTACTGGGGTACTACACATGAACAAGGTTTATAACAGGTAAATGCTAGGTAGAGCGCTTTATTCATATAGAATACTCTCGATGATTCAAATTTTAAATGGAGGCCACGGACTGCGCCACGGAGCTTTTAGCGAGCGGTAAACAAGGTACCGTATTTACCGGGTAATACTTCGCGCCACCTTTACCCTACCGGGCAATTCTTCCGCACTCCCTTTACCCTACCCTTTACCCTTTCCCTTTTACCCAGTAAAAAGGGTAAATTACCTGACCTTGCCGAGGCCTAGACCTACTGCCGGTGTCGGAGCCCTCTCCTACATTAACATTAGCTGCCCCGCCCATCTCTAAACCTTTATAAGCAGCTTGCCCTCAGAGCAGAGGTGGCAAACGGGTTTTTGATTCCTTACCCGTACCCGTACCCGGCCGCACCAGGGTCGCAAACGGGTACCCGTACCCTACCCGATACCCGGCTACCCGTACCCGGCTGGGAATCGGGTAGGGTACGGGTACCCGATTGCGACCTCTGGGATGAAGCCATGTTGCAGGCATGGGTGGGTTGATTCTAGGAACTTGAATTGTGAGAAGAGACAAGACGTTGGGAAATGAGTGACAAACGGTTACTCACCAGTGACTCACGGCCTACCTGTACCCGTACCCGGCCGCACCAGGGTCGCAAACGGGTACCCGTACCCGTACCCGTCTGGGTACGGGTAGCCGGGTATCGGGTAGGGTACGGGTATCGGGTACCCGATTGCGACCTCTGCCTCAGAGGCTAACCTCCCTGTTCCTGATGACGACCGCTTGTGTTGCGATCGAAACGTCGTGATATTTGTAGTCACTTTATTTTTATTATTTTATTGTTATAATTTTTTCTATCTACGTGACTTTACCGAAAGAACCATAGAATATATTCAGCGTTTAGAGATTAGTTCACCACATTAAGGGAATGTCAGAGGGGGTTACGTAATGCACGGATAACTCCACTTTTTCTATTTTGAGGTCAAATATTTCTCTGCCGTGCAACGACTCCCTCTCACTGTGCTTTGCGTGAATAGGTTCAATGATTTATCTTTACACATATACACACACGGGAAGACGAATACAAACAATATCTAGCTTAGGCTGTACGATGTAAATATGAGATTATGACTCTGAACTCTGGTAACATTGACAATTTGGAAGCACATCTACAAACCGAAATCTGTTGGTTTAAAATATCCACGATGCTCTGTGGAAATGGCCTACACCCAGGGACAAGCGAGCAGTGTATTCTCATACACGTAGGGTTTCTAAACAAATGCAGCTGACTGCGAGACAAAACCACCCGATTTATTTACAGCATTTGTCACTGAGCACTTATGCAAGAGTTTTCGATTCATTCATAGAGAATAGTGTTTGATCCGTGCAGCAATCTAACACTCAGTCACATGATTATCATCGTTATTTCTTTCACTTAGCTCACAGGACCGATCTGTCGAGATCCAAACTCTTGGGTTGAGCAAACCTACAGTTTTTCCAGGGTTTTTTTTTACACATTATGTACATCAGTCTAGCCAGTGGCATTAATGTAAATGCAATGTATCATTTATTGCTCTTGTTCCCATTGGTTATGTGTAATAAAAGCTCAACAAAGTGTTGGTCGAGCTATGTGCTAGATATATTTCTCCACATTTAATTACAGAATGTATTCTGGTCCAGGGGCCTATTGGCTTTTTGCACCAATTTTATCCAACAGAATTAGTTTAAGCAAGCAAACTCTGGACTAGTTTCGACATTGCGTCTCATCATCAGTCAGCCTTGTTAAAGAAATGTTGCCGAGAACTCCATCTAAACCATGTTCAACTTCTACCACGGTTGGCTCCTTACGGTGCAAAAGAATTTGAACATACATACAATGTCAACAAGCAACATTGTACATAAACGACGTATAATGAGATGCTAGAATACATCAGTTCACGGGTGTGACTCAAATGAGTGTAAACTCTACACTGGTAATGCAGGTAGAGAAAGAGCATGCCCTTATTGCAGGTGTGGATATTTTTGGTTGTGTTAAGCTCAAGGTGAAGTGAATTGATAGTGTATTATCGTGCTTACAACAGCTATTGTCTCTGGCGGTTGACCAACCCATTATTTATTGATGCTGCTTTTCTGCTCCCAACAATGCCCAATTTAAAAATTCACAGCGCGTGCCATCTGGTGCATTTTCCTAGCGGCTACGGACTAAACATCACCATTGTTCACCTCGTGTCCTCTAATCCTCTAATGGGTGTTGGCGGTTCGCTTCTATTGCAGAGCTCAGAAATTGATGTCGGTGTCCCTGACTATAGCTGCACCCCCGCAAAACAGTGGCACGGCCCAAGTGGAGATGCAGGCGCAGCCTCCGTTGGTACAACCCATTGCTGCTCCGGTGATCCCACAGGTACCGATTTCAATACTTTGCAGGGCTTTTTATTTATTTACTTACGTATCGTTCAGTAAAAATTGTGTTATTCAATCCCATCATTGAGTGTCAAAGTTGCTTAATCGTGTCCTCGTTTTCATGTTATTATTGAATATAATCAAAAGTATTTGTATGTACCCAACAGAAAGTGGCCAGCCCAAGTTTTGGGTTGCCAGGCTTTGATGGTCAATCAGGAGTAATGGCTGCACCCGTTTTTACGAAGGTGAGTCGGTTTCTATTTGTAACAGACAATTTATGCTTGTCTGGATTAGCATATAGCTAGGTTTGTAAAAAAACAATGTCTCTCCCCTTATTTGAATAGTAGTGCTATATTTTACACTTTTTGCCAACCAAGGTGAGGTTTAAGTAAACGCATGTGCTTTATTTACGAGTCAACATTGGAAGCAGTGTGATGGATACTCATAAAGGAAACAGTGGCAGATAAACACCCATGATTATCTTGTTTTACTATGTAAAATTATCACTGCCATTTCTATTATGCATCCTGGAAACAACTTTGGGTGTGCAGTTTGGGAGTTTTTTTATATGATCCCATGGCCTCTATCATTCTGAAATTCGATCATAATTGGTCAGTTGATCCGAACCTATTTAATGTTATTATTTTATTTACCAGGTAAAGCCCGCTGAGCTATTAGCTCTTTTGCAGAGGTGACCTTGCCACACATCGAAGGGGTTTATCATATTTGGGAATTTATATTAGCAGCCATCTAAACGCAAATTTAGATTATTTGTGGAGGGCAAAACTGGAGGACCTGGACAAATATACACACGACCACGGGAAGAGAATTAGTGCAAAGTCCAAATATAAAGGCATCGTCAGTTTCGGGATCAAACTCATGGCCTTCTGCGCACTACGCAAGGGAGATAACATCTATTTGCTCCCAGAAGCACACTTTGGATCAGATTTTTTATTGTAATATATGTAATAGTTGCAATTATCATGTCTTTGTTTGTATTGCATGTAAGCACTAAGTTTCATGTGTTAAGTCATAAATCCATCACATTGTCATATATGCCTATTTTAAAACGTCTGACATGTAACATGTAGATGTTAAGTTGTCCTTAAAATAGTTTGTATTGAGTTTTCATTCCGTTTTAGTGCAGGATATTGAAGAGGGAGTGAACACGTTCAAAAATATTTAGCATATGAATACCATACACCAACTAGTAACATGACTGGAATTCCACAGTGCAGGAGTGTATATTGTGAAGACCACTCTGAACACTTGCTACCCACTAGGCTGGGACAGACACAAGTTGCTTGAGTAAATACTGTACAGTATTACAAGATGTTTGATATCGCAATGCACGTGGTAGATATCGAGGAGCATCTTCATGCCACGTGGAATGAGGAGCAAATGTTATCGTTTTAATCTAAATAGCACCTTGCCATTTGTGAATCACAATATGTAAGTTATAACATGAGATTCATACACTTTCGTCTTCTAAAGGCGACTAGGCCTGAAATTGTACCACTGCTGGTAGAAGGGCCTTTGCTTGGGGAGGTATTTTGGCCTAGTCTTACATATTGGCCATATCTGTGGCCTACCAATTGAATGACTGGTGAACCATTTATACCGCAAGAGGACTCAATAAATGCCACGACATGAGATCGATTCGGACCAGCAGGTCTAGTGAGCTAACCATTGCACCATGGCAAGAATGTGAATGTAAAACGACACAAACCCTATTCGGCACCCATGTAGTTTTTGACACGTGCATGTGTAGGTGCAGTGTGTGTGTGTCCAGGTATCCAGTATGCAATCACCGTCCTGCAAGTGAGGTGTCCATTGTAAGCGGCAACATGTTCAGCCACGCGGTTGTGATACACTCAAAGTGTGTGCATCACCAATATAAAATAGCATCTCTAAATACCGGACATCGATCATTATGGGTCATTGCACACATGTGTTCGCACAATTTCCAGTACTTATGTTACTTAATAAATTCAAAGGCTATTTACAAAAGAATATAGAAATAACTCTATGTCTTATTACTATGCGAAGAGGCTTTATTGTTCGTGAAATCCCTGTAACTCTGATAAGATATCTTTGACCTCTGCATCACCTCTATTGCACACACACTTTTGGGACCACGTATATCGTCGTTTCATTAATTATACAGTCAAACATTTACTGCTGCAAACGTTCATTATCACAAACATTGAAATGCCAAATATGTTGCAATAAATATCCCTTTTCACTCAATACACTTTTTTTCTTGGTAATTGTAGATGCATGGAACTAAATAAAATGTATTAGACATTTATTCGCTGCAGTCATGTAGGCCTTGCTGAAATACTTGCTCTAAAATATAAAATTGAATACCACCATTAACCTTGCTCAAAAGTGCTGCTAATGTAATGCCAAAAATGTCACTGAGTATTAGATTGCTGCACAAATCAAATTCAGCATGTGATGGGCTGGTGGCACGGGCAACACAGTCACCTATTTATCAAGCTCGGGGGACTCTGCATCCCGTGCGTAAACATTCTGATTAAGCCACAGCTTCACATTTGCTTTCCTTGCGGTAGGTAAACAACTCTGGGCTAACACACACTGCAATCATTGTTGCATCATGCAGAAACATTTGTGTTTGCTTCCTTGGATTCATGTATATGCAGTTGTATATATTACTATAACAACTTAACATGCAAAAACAGTGGGAAATGTTGTTCTTACTTTTTCTTTGCAAGATGACCATTATCTGTAAATCTACAGTAAAAATGCAAACATTTTGTAAATCCACTGCTGGATCAGGGCCTCCCCGCTCCTTGCAGGTTTAGGTGCTATTTGACTATACTTCATCATGCTGGTCATTGCAGGTTTATAAAGTTGGGGAGCCTAGATATGTACGCATAGAAGTGCAGTACAACAATGCTTGCTTCTGCCCTGCTGTCTGCTAGGCACCACATAGCGCCGATCGCAACATGTTTGTACGAGAGTCAATCACCGAGAATTGACAAGTTCAGGTGCATTGTGGGTGTTTTGGCCATAGGTATACACAGACGACATTGATTGCAAATTCCAATTGCACTAATCAATATCACTCACCAGTCTATTAATGTGACACATTTTGAGTGCTTATATTATTTTGATTGTAGCTTGTCAATTGCAATTACATATAGAATGCTAGCCTTTATACAAATATCCATTTAAACAGAGGTGAATTGTAACTGTGCAATGCTCCATTGGAACCTCCTTTGCCAGATGGCGTCATCTGGTCCAACACCATGTGAGACTAGTCTCTAAGCAAAGCTGTCTCGGGTGTGGACCAATCAATTTCAAGGACAGTGCATACATTATTAGAGTTGTGTTTTTGTTTGCATTCTGACCGCAGGTATTGTGGTCAATGCAAACATGACTCCTTGTAAAAAAGGTGTCAGTTTTGTTGCCAGATAATAAGGTAAAAAAAACAATTATCATGTGCAATGCTCATTTGTATTTTGTGCCCGGGCCAGCAATGCTTATTTTCGTGGATTTGGATATTTCTCAAGTCAAGTCGATTTTTTTTTTGGCTTATACACGTGGCGCCTTTCTCGCACAAATCTGCCACTCAAAAGCACCTCATGGTCATTTTCTACCGTACACCAACCCCAGCTTCATTTTCTCTCGTGCAGATTTAGACTGTCAGTTTGCCCCTTGTTAATTCAGTCTTTCGTGCCTCATTGTCGCGAGCTGTGGACCGCTGTTATCTGAGATGGGGTCATGTTTGCATTGGAGTCCTATTTGAGTAGGCATGGTGCGATTCATTTGACGAGTGGCGTGAATGTGGATACAAATAGCAAACATACTTCATCAATAACTTAGCAGGACCTTTCTAAATAGTTCCAAACGAGCTACCCCATGTGGAATGTGACAGAAAGGAATCAAACATTAGCGACACCGAAATTGCAAATAGTGTTGCATGACTAAGCAGAACAGTTCTGAATATTGGAGACAATTGAGCGTAGGGGGCCGTCCATAAATGACGTCACGCGATTTTGGACGATTTTTGACCCCCTCCCCCCTCGTCACACGGCGTCACAAAAAGTCAGACCCCCCTCAAATATGACGTCACAAAGCTCTGCCCCCCCCCCCCCAAAATAAAACATGCTTCAAATCGCTTTAAACTATTGTCATTGTAGTGCGTATTTAACGTGACGCTGCACTCTGATGTTGTAGGAGAAAACATTTATTAAAATGTCAATTTAATTAAGTAGAACGTGTTGTCTATATTTATTTAAAGTTGCGCATTTTGATGTGACGTCACATTTCTCAAACCCCCAACCTCCTCGTCACGCATCGTCACAGATGTCTGACCCCCCCTCCCCAGGTTTGTGACGTCATTTATGGACGGCCCCATGCCTGTAATTTTTTGCTTAATTGCATCGCCACTTTGGCTGGAGAAACAAAGATAGCCAGGTTATGGTGCAGGTCTAGCAACCTCCTAGAAGCCCCAGTTCATGCCAGCAAATGCTCGCGATTGCATCATTGCCACCAAAATGCTTGTTGCAAGTATAAAGCAGCACAGTACCCTGGCCTGTTCACGTCTTCTGAATTTTATGATAGTGTTGAGCAGCGTAAGTTAAGGGATAATTTAGTGCACCTCATTAATGTGGTGCTTTTTACGTGCATTAATTTAGGTAATGAATTAATCCTTGTTCAGTGTAAGTCATTAAAAGTGCACTGAACAAGTTTATCCTGCCTTAGAATAATGGTATGAAATAGTCACAGGCATGGTTATGTATTGCTCACTGCTGCTGTCTTGGATGGACAAACTAAGTTTCCATCTCTTTTATGAATGAAGTAAAAATTACATGTGAATTGGACGCATGGGGAATTATTAGACTGTACCAACATTCAGAGCGCTTCCATTTATCTCCGTATTATAAAACAGCAGGTTTGCTCATTGTAAATTAAATTAAGGCACCTTGAACGTTGCCTCAGTCACAATTGTTTAACAGACTTTGTCGCAGAGACGCATGAGATTGAGTTGCTGAGCAATGCTGGAAAAAAAAATCAACTGCTTTTATTAATCAGTGAATTACAAACTGATTGTCTAATTAAGTCATCATTAATTCTCATTAATGAACATGTCATTACATGATTAATTAATAGAGCTCGTTTATGGGCTCTTACAAACCATTACTGAGTAATGCAGCTCAGCACTATTTTAATAGGATTCCAGAAAAGCCAATAGGCATCCATTCATCATGGCACTGAGTTCACTTGGCAAATTGCACTTCACCGGGACCATTTGAGGTGAGCACTGTGGGATCTGCAATGTTTGGTGATGAGATGACACAGCTAAGCATTGTCACCAACCTGCACTGACCAGCGTGGTGAAGTTTGCTCAAATTGCCACCTTGGCTGACTTGCCTAAGTCATGGCTCTCAGTCTCCAGAAAAAATCTGTAATTCACCGGCCATGCTGTCGCCAAGGAAGGTGAAAATGCAGGGAGTGCGAAGAATCACCGGGAGTCAACAGGACGCATTGTGGATGTAACTTACAGTAATTTTACTCAAAAGACGAGTACTCTGTCAAATAGAACCGTCTGATTGAGATACATAAGTAAGGATCTGAATAGTAGCAACCACTTCTGTCATAGAGGGAACAGTTGAGAGTAATTTTTTGATGAGTGGGTTTCTTAGATTCTCTGGAATCAAACATTGAGTTGTAGGGTTCAAGAGAGAATCAGATTTAGTTATCCTCCTAAGATTAAGACTGTTGAACCACTAAAAGCTGAAGATAATACAAACATATGCCTCAACAACGAGCCATTAAGATGTTGTAGTAAACCAAGTTCTATGAAGAAATTAACTTCGGAATGAGGGCAAACCACAACATACATCATAATGGGTGACTTTAATGCGAAGGCAGACGACAGAAATTATAATGTAGATGTTTAATATGCATTAGGGTGAGGAGATTTATACAACAGACACCTTTAAAATATATATAATAAATGTATCAAATGTGCATGGATGATCTGAGATCTAGAAATTATAAATAACACATTTTCAGACGTGTCTGTTCCAGCAGATTCACGACAGGAAGTGATCACAAGTTGGCGCAGTGCAGTTAACACTTGTAACATTACTGGAGGGAGCACTGGTCTAATTACAGGCAGACAAGACATCATGGGACCTCCTTTGCCAGTACCAAAATATGATAATAAGTTTTTCCCCTTTAATCTGGCAACAAAACAGGTGTTAATTTGTTAAAAATACCAAACTGAAACCTTTTACAAGGAATCATGTCTGCATTAACCACAATACTTGCGGTCAAAATGCAAACAAAAACATACTCTGATAATATATATGCCTTTTGGCGTCCTCTAGTCGAACACTGTTTGAGACGAGGCTCAAAAGAAAGCTGTCTCTAGTGTGGACCAATCAGTTTCAAAGACAATGCATACATTATCAGAGTATGTTTTTTGTTTTCATTTAGACCACAAGTATTGTGGTTAATGCAGACATAATTCTTTGTAATAGGTTTCAGTTTGGTGTTTTAACAACTTAACGCCTGTTTTGTTGCCATATAAAAGGGGAAAAACTTATTCTCAAAAACAAGACAGTCAACCTCAAAACCATCCAGTCCAGGAGATTGGAGGCTTCAGACTAAATCTACGCCACCGATTGAAATCCCAAGAAAAGCAAGATCGTTAAATGGATGTCACCACTATGAACAGTTAAATAATTGGTATTGTAATGAACAGTGTAGGGAGGGTGGGAATAAAACAACGGATAAGAACTTATTGGATACCACAAAAAGTACAACGGTGAAATATAGCGAAAAGGAAAAAATTACAGAACTCAGTAAACCCGAAGAAAGATAATGACAATATAAATCCGAGAGACAGAACGACAGTGGTTGAATGTGTCATGATGAACAATTGGGGAATTAAATCAGAAAAGAAAGTTTTTGATTAGTCAATCACAAGTTGCAGCGCTGAGAGAGCAGGACGGAACCATAATACATTGCAGAGATATAATCATTAAGATAGTGAAGCATTTGTCTGCAGTTCTCTACCGGGTGATGATGATGGTGATGATGATGTTACAGCTTGATTATGTTTTTCCAATGGTAGTACTGTAGGTTTAAAATATGCTTTTCCTCCATATACTGATCCAGTGCAGAATGAGTTAGTACACTTTATACAATAGGTAACGTCACATATTTTCAGTGCCTGTGCACCATCTAAATATAAATTCAGATTGCCCATCGATGACCCTAAAGTATAATGAAATCAATCGTGTCATTTTGATAGGTTCGAGTAATATATTTGATGTTTCAGGCTAACGCTGCATTTAGTTTGTCGCCATGTGCGTGAAGCAGTCATTTTACAATATTGGGGGTACACTGGGACGCCGAATGTAATGCGTCGCGTTGTTTTAGGGGCTCCCTTCAGCGCTAGTTTCCCCCCCAAAATGGAAACTCTGTGGCAGGCACACACGTGGCAATGATTGTTGGGTTGAGAGTAGCCAGAGGGGCCCATGTTCATTAGACAAGCTGGCCCACGAATACTGTTTGAGGGGACACAGCATGTGGCTTTGCCTCCTCTTCAAATGTGTTGAGGGTAGCTGCTCTCCCTGTCACCCCCCCTACTCCCGCCTGCTCGTGCCCGCTCCCTGATATTCCCACACTTGCGGTTTGTGGAAGCCATGCATCAACACTGCCCCAATATCTAATACGCTCTCCCATGCATGATCGTGCATATTTTACATTGGGCATAATAAATATTGTCAAAGAATATTAATGTGTTTACAATTCAGAACTCGCTTATATTACAGTTATAAATTCGTGATATATATACTGCCTGTTTATTGCAATGGACACCTACCAAGCGTTTGCTTGGCATGCACTTAAACATAATATTTAAAGAATAGATTTTAAACAATGAATATGTTTTTGGTTAATACCATATATACATAAAAATGCAATCAAAAACTGCCACCTTCCCTTCTATGAAACATTTTGCTTGTAGTTGTGAGCAGCGGCAAGTTTTTTTCAACTATTAAACACTTTGAGACTAGGCTCTAAAGAAAGCTGCTTCTGGTGTGGACCAATCAGTTTCAAAGAGAATGCATATATTATTATCAGAGCATGTTTGTGTTTGCATGTTCACCACAAGTACGTGTGATTAATGCAGACATGATTCCTTGCAAAAAGGTTTGTGTTTAGTGTTTTAACATCTTAACAACTGTTTTATTGCCAGAAAGGGTAAAACCAATCCTTATATTTCTCAAGTATTGTTTGATCTTATCTGCACAACCGGTCACGTGAATGTTCAAACCCTAACACCACCAGCCTCCTTTAAAACGTTTCAATATCCAAACTTCCCGGCGGTTGTGGAAGAAGGCCAGGAATATGTGGCGCGTGTTTAATTGATTTTTGGAAGCACAGAGCTAGAGAAATAAACGCAGGCAAGCTGTCTTGGTGCCAAAGTGCTGCCATTTACACTTCAGCAGTATGGTTAGAGAATGAAGTCTATAATGTTACAAACGAAGGCGGCACACTTTCAATATCATTGCTCATCCTGGACCTCTATGCACACGTGCCAAGTCCATTTCCCATACTTCCTGAGAAATCTTCGAAAAAAAGTTAATAAACTGATGAACTAGAACAGAGACTCTCTTTACAAACATCTGCTCATGTCTATAAAACGAACTCTTCATTGCAACATCCTGCCCACAAGTCCTTTAATTGTCATGTATAATCATCAGCCATTCTAAATCGACTGCTGGATTAAGGACTCCTAAGCGGCCACCACCTCCGTGGTGATCCTGCAATGCGGCAATCCACCCAACACCTGCACACGAGCTGATTTATTCGCTCCCATAGACATGTGCCGACTGTTACGTTGGCCCTGATGTGTATATATATAATTAAAACCAATTACACATCCAATGTTAACGCTCTAAATTCACTATAAATTATCTGATTTAACTTGTAGTCTCGTGAGACAACGTTTTAGCTACTTTTCTTTGTTTTTTTTGTTTACTGAATGCGTTTCGATTGTAATAAAAGATATATACTTTACGTATTATGGTTTTCGTAAATAATGTAGGTTTTGTTATTCTTTCATGGAAAAATATATTCATCACTGCAAAAAAAACTTGTTTTTGTCAAAATGTTTACTCCTTTGGAAATCATTTACCTCATAATTGGAAGTCTACTGCTTCTGCCAGTAGCCAAGAACAGTTATGTTGGCAGGCTTAAAACTTCAAACAAATAAACTTCAAACAAATAAACTTCAAAAGCGAAATATTTTTTTTTCCAAATAAAATCCAAAACAAAGGAGCCCAATCTTTATGGAATGGCACCTACTATGCGTTTGAGAGAAAAAAATGTATGCAAGATGATCCATTTGTAGATACTTGACTAAATAATGGGAATAGAATATATAAAAACCAACATTTCATTTGAAAGCTTCTTCGTGTCTCCCACCACTTCAAGTATACTTATTAAATATTGTAACACTCTGCTCGGTAATATACGGGGCCCATCGCTTTCACAAAATGCAATCATCTATTGATAAGAAAGTTAGAGAGTCATTAGAAATCAGAGGGGTGTCTATAAATAGATCACCCTGTTTCATAAAAGTTTAAAGTCGATTTTATTTCACCAGGTGAGAACTCAAGAGACCGGAATGAGACAAATTCTCGAGACAGAGACCGGGGATCACCAAAATAACAAAAAGCCACGGGCGTCAACACAAGTGCAGCAATGCAACAAATATCAATCAGAGCAAAAACAACAAAAATTTGACATTCGAGCCAAATGTTGAGCGGAGGTTATTGAGATGCCTCCCAATAATTTCACTTTGTAACAAAAAATATATATATTGTTCCTGGGTAGTTAAGTGTTATTTTCCAATTGCTTCTGCCACAAAAGTACATCAAATGGCTATCATTCCCCACAAACCTTGCTTTTGTGACCAGGACAGTGATATTTTGAAATGTACCAATTTTCAATGAGAAAACGTGGTGTGCATTTGTGTCATTCCTTCACGTAAAGTCCCGGTCGCGAAAGCAAAGTGTTGCGGGGAATAATATCCATTTTCTATACTTTTGAGGCATAAGCAATTAGAAAATGACACTTAACTACCCCGGGATCAAAAATCGTGTCCTAGGGGCTCCGCATTACAAACGGATTGCTGCCGCACGTGCCCGCCTGTCGCCTTTCGCAGCCGCTGACAGACGCGACGGCGTCCGAGGGCCAGCTGGTGGTGCTGGAGTGTCGCGTCAAGGGCTCGCCAGCACCCAAGATCACGTGGTACCGAGAGGACACTGCTGTGGACGATTCTCCCGACTTTCGTCTTCTGCAGAAAAGTGAGTGTGCCCCCCCCACTCCCTCTCCCTCTCTCTCTGGTCGGCAGTCCGGCATGGAACGCTTCACGAATTTGCGGCATGGAGATCACACTGGTAGGAACCACCTGGTTCCACAAGCCCACAGGGGATTATTGTGTCCGTCCGTCCGTCCGTCGTGAATCCAAAAATGGGAGGGGTGGGGCTGGGTGGAGAGGGGAGGGTGGGGAGGGGCTGGGTGGGGAGGGGAGGGTGGGGAGGGGCTGGGTGGGGAGGGGTGGGGTTGGGTGGAGAGGGGAGGGTGGGGAGGGGCTGGGTGGGGAGGGGCTGGGTGGGGAGGGGAGGGGCTGGGTGGAGAGGGGAGGGGAGGGGCTGGGTGGGGAGGGGCTGGGTGGGGAGGGTGGGGAGGGTGGGGCTGGGTGGGGGGTGGGAGGGGTGGGGCTGGGTGGGGAGGGGCTGGTCACCCCGTGGTGACCTTATAAAACTCAACGTTTAACCTACTCACGCCGGCTCGTGCCCGCCCTCACAGTCGGGCATATTTGCGGAATACACCACGCCGCCGTTGACCCTGGCCATTGACCGAGCAACCCAACGTTCCTACCAGCTCCCTCCGCAGGAGGAATGTGTTTAAAGCCTCCCACACGAACTGGTGCGCAATCAGCACGTAGTGCCTGGTCAGCGCTTTGAGTTTAACAGTTTCCTGCATGGGAGGCCCGTGTACATGATAAATGATGGCGATGGCCAAAGTCGATATCCGTTGGAGAGATTTGTTTTGCTCATGTTTGGGGAAACTTTGTCCGCTCTAAAGTATGTTAATTGATCACATACCAGGTGGGGATGTTTTTTTACTCTTTGATTCGTCTTCACCTGAAGACGGTTGCTTGTGTTGTGATCGAAACGTCGTGATCTATTATTTTTTCTACCTACGTGACTTTACCGAAAGAATCAAAGAGTATGGATTCCTGCAGTCACGAAAGCTTCAAATAAAAAATGGGGACATTTTAGTTTGATCAGTCACAATTTCAGGAAACACACAGACCACTCTACCCTCTTATATCTGTTTAACATAAATTGTACACACAGTCAAGTTTTTAAAGACCTGGTTTTGCATAAGATATATCCAGCTCGTGACGAGAAATAGTAATTACATTTATCCGTCTGATAAACTACAGTGTTTTTTTAAGCAGCACCTTCCCAACAAACGTTTGACCACCACTTTGCACACTAATGAAAGAAAGATTACTTATTTTTATTTGTGTTTGGTTTGTGGCTGTATCCTTCATAGACCCCCCCCCCCCCCACACACACAATTTATTGAACAGTTGCATACAATTTATCATATTCCTGAATTATGCCGAAATTGGCGAGCTGAACACACATTCTAATGCATTCCGTAACCAACACAAATGTGTTTTCTTGCAATCTAGCAAAAAAATGTTCTTGCAAAGTGAGCGCAACTGAGTGAGTCGTGTTTAATATTATCGGCTTTCGATGACAAGCCTGTAGCTGATGGGTGCCAGGCTGCTTGGGGCCTTGCAGGCCTAAATCTGCCCAAACTTGCACAGGAACATATGAGCTGGCATAGAAATTACGAATGCTTGCCAGGCCACCTTGGTACACACTGTGTACCCTTCGGCACTGTGTTCCAGCCAACACCGTGAGTGCTCTTCTGTAGACTTTGCTGGCCTGTCATCCACTTTCATGGGCTATTTAATTTTAAGTCATCAAAATTTCCAGCGATGCGTGAGAAAGCCACGATTGAGGTACGTTAGTTCCTCTGCCACCCTCTTCACATTGCACTCTTTTTGGATAATGTCCTCTTTTATTTATTTTAGTCTTTCTTTGTATAATGGTTATACTTGTAACCAGTAGCGGGCTTTGCTTTACTATTAAACTACGGGGAAGGTACATGACTTAGTATACTGATGATGGAGAACAAATTGTGGAAGTGTTTACTATGAGCTTTAAAGCAGTCGAGAGCTTTAGGCTAACTCTGCCCTATTGGTGTAAATAAAACTTACCGGCTGCAATTGTTGGCGGCCGAAATACCGTAGAACGATTCGTGATTTTATTTTTGTACTTAAAAGCATAGACTCGATTATATTTGGGCCAAATGTCATATTTCTAGTTATGTGAGTAAAAATGTGCAGAGCTGCACCTGTACCTTCATCTTATTGCCACCACGATGCATCGTAGTGGTAACAAGCCACCATGGCCATGCGTTTCAATGCCGCAAGTTGTGATGGGAACGCGGCAGCTGCACTCACCAGAGTGTAACGAGCCACCATTGACACTCTTAAGCATCTTCCTTGGAGACCATCTGGACGATGGGTCATAAAAGCGTAGTGACGGCACGTTCCTGGCATTCGTAGCATTGCTTTCCCATGGTAGGATTAATTGTTAAAGGTCAAAAAGACACGGATTGATTAAAACCTGTCGACGTTGCACGAGCGGAGTCTCTCAAAGGGAAGAACGTGTTTTGTGAACCATGAAGCTTATATATTGTGATGATTAGTTCTTCATTAATTAATTGATAAACTGGTCAGGTAATTTATACAGTCTATATGCTCACGTGTGTTTATAAGTTTGCGTATGACTATGCATGTATATATGCATCCATAATATATATTTTTTTGGGTTAGATCGCGTAAATATAAATGTGTCGTTAAACCCGCCACCACCCGACACAGCCAACTAGTAATGTTTTTCACGTAAACAGAACATGCCAATTCGTCACTAGTACAGCACACGGGTGTGTTGGGGAGCAAATCCACAACATTTACAATCTGAGTACGACGTTTTGCCAGTAATTACAACTAGCTTCATCAGGCGTCAGCCAGATTTGTGGATAAATCCTTCCGCTTCGTTCCTTAAGGAGAGGGATAGGTGTGATGACGTCACTTGTGAGCCCTACTTATGAGATAAATCATGGATGTTTACATAGTCCTAGTCTCCTTGCATATGGTCCTCATGGAACTACAGACGTGTACGTCACTCATAAGTCCCAGAACACATTCGTGCTCCTCAGCATTAAGCTGCTACTATGGCAAATAGAATTCCTTGCAAACAAGACACAGTGCCCCAAAGTTCTTCTTGGTTCTTACGGTAAAGTCACGTAGAAGGGAAGTAATAAAATAATAAAAATAAAACGTGATAAAATAATTCTCACGACGTTTCGGCCACAACGCAAGCAGCCGTCCTCAGGTGAAAACCAGGTCTGTCGGGGAGACAGCGTCAAACCAGGTCTGTCGGGGAGACAGCGTCAGACGCTGTCTCCCCGACAGACCTGGTTTTCACCTGAGGACGGCTGCCTGCGTTGTGGCCGAAACGTTGTGAGAATTATCTTATTATGTTTTATTTTTATTATTGTATTACTTCCCTTCTACGTGACTTTACCGAAAGAACCAAGAAGATGAATCCCTGCAGTCACGAAAGCTTTAAATCGAAATTGCCCCAAAGTTCACGATCACACCCATCGGCACAGCATTTAGTGTGCGGGGGGGAGGGGGGGAATGTGTGAGAAGGACACTGGGTGTGCATAACTGTAGATGCACAACACGTGCCACGTTAAACCCCCCACTGTAACCATTGTTTGATCATTGTGTTGCATTCTTCTGTCTTGACTCCAGGTTCAGTTGGGCAGGCTCTGCTACTATCGTTCACTCTGAATGCCTTTTGCGTGCTCAGACAAATTCCTCCTCTTGCCAACAAACTCAGGCTGAATGGCATCAATATCAGAACACCACGGAAGCAATGCAATGCAACAATTTAAATGCATGCTGGGATAGAACAAAGGGCAGATGATGTAGCCAAATGTCACACTGTAACCTTTTTAATAAATGCATGGCACCGTATGCTGTGGAGAATTTGCTGCTGATTGACGTAAGCAAGAAAACATGTTGCAAATTAACATGGAGTTACGAGGGATATTTAACAGGGCTGAGGACTACACCGCAAACACATCTGTGCTTTGTTCTGTTTGAAAATGCATGTTAAGTGGGACATCTGTATAAAGTATTTGTTTTAGAATAACCACCAGATACCGCCACGCTTTGCTCTCACCTTACCCACCCACCAATGAGAAAGGCCACTGAGTGTCGGGTTAGTTGATGTGGGGAGTCGCGGTGCATTTATGTTTTGTTCAACGCTGCGACTTAACCCACAGAACTGTGTCACCTTGGAGAGAGGGGGCACTGGCTCAGGTCGACCGGACTGAACCTCGTAAACCTTGCACGTTGAAGCCTTTAAGTGAATGCCCTCATCCAGCTTGCGTTTAAAGGGAAAGTATATTGAATTACGTGGAGCTCAGTGCTACTGATTGGTGGAACAGAATGGACCGCTGTGATTTCCTTCGGCTCGACAAACACCTCGACAGCTTCAATTTCCAACAAAAAATAATGCCGTGATGTGGTACATTCACGTCGATTGAAAGTACATATTCGATATGTTGTATCTGAAATTGAGTGTCTTTGCATTGCTGTTCAATGTTGTGTAGCTTCAATTGTAAAGGCAACAAAAGAAACTTCATACTCACAATAAAGTAGGTAACAACTACAGCGAAGAGAGCTCTAAATTAAATCAACGCTAAGAATTGATTTAATTTAGGGCCCAATCTGCGCCATAGATGTAGGCAGAGTGAGCGAGCCACACGCGTGGAAAGCACAAGGCTGCAGACTATGAACAGCAGTCACACGAGTGTAGAAGAGCATTATCTTGCAGCACTTTGCACCATGTGAGTTTTTTCAGCTCAGCGCAGGATTTGTAGTCAAAACAAACATTCGCTTGGTGGGATTTAAACTCTTGACCTCTTGTTTGTAGGGCAATTGATCCACTCACCTAAGCTATAGCACGAGAGTGTGAGAAAGTGCTGCATACCTTGTTTAAGCGAAAGCGTCTTTAATTCATGTGGTGTTTCCATCTTAGCCTGACCCAATGCTTAACTGAAGTATGCAGAGGTTTAAATTTAGATTTAAAGCTTTCGTGACTGCAGGGATTCATATTCTTGGTTAATTCGGTAAAGTCAC